GGAGCAATCTGAAACAAGCCTTCCTTGGATGCCAGTCTGTGGGCTCTCGGTGGGGTTTCTGCATGTTTCACAGCCACTGTGGTATGGAGCACAGCAAGACCAAAACCCAGGATCCCTGAGCCTAGAGAATCGGTGGCAAGCAACAGTCCCAGGAGTCCAGCTGGAAGAGGTTGATGAGACCCAGGAGGGGGTACATGAAGTGAGGAGACCATAGATGAGGAGTCAGGGAAGTGGATGATGTTACAGGGGGGCAAGCCCGAGGAAGCAGATAGTGTCCTGGTTTGTCTGCAATAGGGAAGGGCCAGGTGTGGCTATCTCCTTTTGCTCCACAATGTCTTAAAGGCACCACCTGTCACCTGCCGGATGACTGATTCAGCAGCCTGGGAGCTCACAGGAGGCCAGCCTGCCTTGGACACAACCTTGCCGATTGGAGCCAAAGCACCTCACATAACCATGAGAGGTCAAAGTCAACAGATAGCTTCACACTCTGAATCATAGAGAAAGTCAGGACGGGAGAAGAATAATTGACAGTGTCCCTGATCAAAGGAGAAATTGGCAATGTCCCTGATTAAAAGAGACACCTCGTCACAGCATATTTAGCGGAAAATATGTGGAAAACAAAAGTCGAATTCTCTGTCTCAATGGCAGAGCCTAATACATCCCTGCCAAGAAGAAAGCATTTAATAAAATCCTTCCTTAAGTTGTATCTGGAGTAGGAGCACCCAATCAGCAAGCAGCCCAACCTCCCAGCTCATGGTGCACTGCGAATACCCCGGATATGGACAAACAGACACAACACATCGGCCCAGCAAATACTTACTGAGCATACCTCCTATATGCCATGTACCAAGCGAGGCTCTGACAGTAGACCAGGCTGCCCTATGAAGTTCCCAAAACAAGTAAAAAGAGACGATCAAGTCTGATCCCCATAAAACCAAGTGACAAAGGGGTTGTTATCCCCACTTTGCAGATGAGTAAATTGAAGCGCCCCAAGTTTAGATGAGTGGTCCAAGGCTATATGACTAGTACTTAGTGTATAGCTTAGATCAGTGGCCACATAAACTTTTATGCATGGGAAAAGAATCTCAAGGAATCCTTGCCCTTTAAGTCTCCGGTTGCCTATGGACCCTTTGCCTATGGTTACCTGTGCCAAAAGCCAGGTTTTCAACCTCTACGCTCACTCTCCCTCAGATGCCTCCACCTGTAATCCTTTTCCATAGAAAGGGTAATGTATCAGTAAGGTTTTGTTCAGCTTCAAGCAACAGAAAAACCAACTAAGAGTGCCTTAGGCAATAAAAACAATTCTCTTACATAACAAGAGGTGCCAATTTAGGTAATTCCAGGGCTAGCCCTGTAGCTTGCAACTGTCATAAAAGAAAAAAATAATGCATGGAAAGAACCATGATCTGTCCTCCTTTCCAGTCTCCCATGGTTAGGCTCGTCACCTCGCCTCTATAAAATGGCTGCTCCAACTTTCGTTTCATGTTGTCGCAGGATTTTATCCAGAGGCAGACCCGTATCACGTGGCCACCCAGCGGCAAGAATCTGGTATTTGTAACTTTCATGGAGAGGGAGCGGTGCACAATGGGGAAAGTGGGGAATGGCTATTGGAGAGCTTAATCAACAGTCTCTGCTGCTGGTCACTTTCTGATTCCTGATTAGGGTCATAGCTGAAAACTAATTTTTCCTGAGCAGAAATATGGATTCCTTGACCCTTGCTTTATTAGTTTTCTACTGCTGTGTTAGAGCTTAATGCAGTGGAAGTCTTGGGAGCTTAAGACAATACCTGTTTATTTTCTCACAGTTCTATAGGTCAGAAGTCAGGGAAGGCTTGCGTAGGTTCTCTGCTTAGGTACTTGCTCAAGGTGTTAGCTGGTCTGAGCTCTCATCTGGAGCTCTAGGGAAGAATCTGCTTCCAAGCTCAGGCAGTGTTGGTAGAGTTCAGTTCCTTGCAGCTGTGGGACTGAAGTCCCCATGGCCTTCTTGGCAATCTACCAGGCTCACTCTCAAGTCCAAAGGCCATTCTCCACCCTTGAGCAAGGCCCCTTCCATCTTTAATGCCAGCAACAGTGCACTGACTCCTTCTCATGCTTCCATCTCTCTGACTTTCCCTTCTGCCACCAGCTGAAGAAAACCCTCTGCTTTGAAAATGCAATTAGAGGGGCACCTTGGTGGCTCAGTGGTTGAGCATCTGCCTTTGGCTCAGGTCACGATCCTGGGGTCCTGGGATCGAGTCCCCCATTGGGCTCCTGGCAGCGACCCAGCTTCTGCCTCTGCCTATATTTCTGCCTCTCTCTGTGTGTCTCTCATGAATAAATAAATAAAACATTTTTAAAAATGCAGTTAGAGTAAGCCCACCCAGATAATCTGCCTTTTGCCATAATCATAGGTGTTAACACCAGAGAGTGACAGTCATGGGAGCCATCTGAAAATTCCATCTACCTCAGTTGCCATTGAAAAAAAAAATCAGGATTTATTCTTGAAGGTCAACCCAGGGTCACGCTTCCCCAATTCATAATAAGGGCAGGAGGACTTCCAATCAAAACAGGGACTCTGTAAGCCAAAAAATTAAAATTAATGGCTGCTGGGTGGACAACCAAGAGTGTCTGATTCGATCAACTTTTTTGTGTGAAACTGACCTATTAACCCTAAAGTAGTTACACAGTGTAATAATCCCACCTAGCTGGTGGACGTTTTTTTTAAATGAGAACATGGTGAATAAGAACCAATGACCGGGATGTGGATTCCTGCTTCATTTAACTCCCTCCCTCCCCCAGTCCCCTCCTCATCCTGCAGCTCCTCAGCCTGCGAGGTGCCCCCTCCCCACCCCAACTCATGAAGAATGCTGACCCACAGGGGTTTGATAGGGTTTTCTTACAAATATATTCAGGTGGCTAGATTTCTCATGTTGATTTTTCACCAGTTTGCATTTATCTACTAGGCAAAAGGGAAGGACAAGGGTTTACAGGAAGAGGAAGCCCATCTCCCAGAGCTTACACAGAGCAGCCCTCACACTGCCCGTGGTGTTGATAATGAGCCCTGCGGGCTTTTCCACATCCTTGAAAGAGAAATCACATGCCCTCTCCTCTACAGAGATGCTGCATTACTAGGTCTCGCAAGGCATTGTTTTCTATTTCACTGCCTTAAACTCAACTCAGCCAGTGTTTTTTTTTTTTTTTTTTTTTTTTTGGTTTTTGTTTTGTTTTGTTTTGTTTTGTTTTTAATTTCACTTAGTGTTTCCTGCTTTCTGACATGTGTGGACTTCATCTTTTTTTCCCCTCCACCAAAAAAAAAAAAAAAAAAAAAAAAGCCTAAAATCCCAAGTCAGATATCTCCAAAGAGCTTACCTGTGTTTGCACAAACATGTGAAGAGCCTTAAGAACTGCAAATTATCAACCAGGAACAGCGCAATGCCTCTGAGAATTCTTTACTTTCCCGGATGCCGTGTTTACCTTTTAAGTGCTTTCAAGCCCATTCTCTTGAAGTCCCTTGCCTTACCAGGAGCCTTGCTCGTTTGTTCTTGTCTCCTTCATTCAGGGGCCTCCATCCATCAGTTTCTGAAACAAGGCAGGTTCTGTGCAGAATCAAAAGCCACCACATCACAGCCGACGGCAAGAGAATGCAGCGAGCATTTGTGCTTGTACACAGGCCTTCTCTCTTTGAGAGGTACCTCTGTTTGAAATGAATGAGGCAAACGAGAATGGTGGCTTCAAACGTAACTATCCTCTTCTGGGCTTTTCCTGTTGAAAAGTCCTGAGCAGCACTCTTACTAGAAAGTAAAGAGAATAAAAGGAAATCGGAGGTAGGCAACAGGTTTCCTTGATGAGAGACTCACACCCGGCCTCAGCAGGCTGTGCCGCTGGACATTTGCCTTCGCTTTGTAGATTTGGGTCTGCAAGGTGAACATGAGAGAGGCTGTTTATTTTCCCCCAGTGATTGTGAATAAAAAAATACATAAACGTCCTTCACCAAGAGCCTAACCTGGAAGTCTGACGGGCTCCTCTCTTTCCCGGTGCTTCTTCAGGGTGTCATTGTTAGTAGGAGAGCTGCGGGCACTACCGTTGCCACGGCTATGACTTCTGGACCAGGGGATTGGCTGGTCCTTGGCCCAGCTCTTCCACCCAGCTGTCATCTCCTCTGCAGTGAGAGGCCTCCTTATTCCTTGATTCATTTTCGTATTTGGCCAGTATGTTGGAGAGCACAGTTCTCCATGCCATGTCATGACCCTTCTTTTTTTTTTTTTTATTTATTTATGATAGTCACAGAGAGAGAGAGAGAGAGAGAGAGAGAGAGAGAGGCAGAGACATAGGCAGAGGGAGAAGCAGGCTCCATGCACCGGGAGCCCGATGTGGGATTCGATCCCGGGTCTCCAGGATCGCGCCCTGGGCCAAAGGCAGGCGCCAAACCGCTGCGCCACCCAGGGATCCCCCATGACCCTTCTTGTAGATCCTTAATGACACTAATGTTGATTTGGACTTAAAGTCTTGGTCTAGTGGAAAAGATAAAATGAAATTCAGGGCTCATAGAAATGATGATCCTAATAATTGGCTTGAGGATCATCACCTTCCTCTCCGGATTGCAGAAGGTTTGCAATGACTGCTTGAAACTTCGGATCAAATTATCTGGCCCATGACCAGGAAGCGAAAAGAAGAGTAGAAAATGAACATGATGTGAAACCTCATTCATGAATTCACCTTATTTTTCCCATCCTTATCTTCCATACCTGAATTTTTTTTAAGTAAGTCTTGCATCATTTGCATCTTTAAAAAGTGTCTTAAATTCTTTTGAAGCAAGGCTAAATATAAAGAAAGTGTAAGTATATTCCTCAGAGATCTGATAGATTCTTATTAGGATGAAAGTAAAAACAAGTGCAAAGGCTTTTCTTGCCAGGAGGGGAAGACTGCATAGCGCAAAGCACCTAGAACACATTCTGTGTAAAAAACAAGTGGGATCATTTAAGTGTATATTTTCTGTTGAAGAAAAAAATATACACATGATCCTTGCTTTGGCAGCACATATGCTAAAACTGGAATGTTACAGGGAACATTAGCATGGTCCCTGCTCAAAGATGACAGGCAAATTCATAAAGCATTCCTTAATGAACTCCCACTATAAGATAAATAAGATCCAGGGATCTAATTCACAGGATAGTGACTATAGTTAACAACACTGTATTATATACTTGAAAGTTGTTAACAGAATAGATCTTAAATGCTATCACTGTGCATGTGCAGGCATACGCGCACACACACACGCACATCATAATTATGTGAAGGATAGAGATGTTAACTAATTGTATCGTGGTAATCATTTTGCAATACATACGAGTATCTAATCATCATGTTGTAAACCTTAAAGTGACATATATGTCAATAATATCTCAGTAAAGCAGAGGAGAAAAAATTGCTTCAACTACAGAGAAAAAAATTCACACGCGCACGCGCACACACACACACACTTATGCATACACATATGATTGGATTCAAGAAAACTAGAATTCTGATACAAAGGCGGGATAAGGACATGACACTCCTAGTTTCAGGAAGCCCCCTACACAATTAGGGACCCGTTAACATCAAGTCACTCACACAAGATTTTTAGCCTCTTCAAAACCCTAGGGTGGGTCGTTGGACATTCCACACCAGCAAGGAGGTGCTTGGGGGGTTTTGGGAATCCCAGTTTCTTTTACACGGTAAAAGCTTTATACATATCTATCGAATAGATGGAAAAGATAAGCAAAACAGGACAAAAGGACAAAACAAAAAACCCACAACAGCAAAAGCAGATGAACAACAAAAACCATTATGCCTACATACTAAGTAAGATAACCTTCCAATGAACTCGGGCAGAAATGATTTGGCAGCAGCCAGAAAAACAGGTGCAATCCAGGGCCTGTCCTTTGAATCTTCTCAACAGCACTTTGAGGTCGATGTTTTTATCTCCACTGTTTTTCAGATGAGGTTAAGGAAGGTTAACTAATTTGTGCAAGACCCCATAACTAGTAGGTGAAAGACCCAGGATTTAAGCCCAGAGCCGTCTGATTCTAAAAACAGACCGTCTACCCCAATATTGCCCCCGACCTCTTCTCCTGTCAAGAACACACATCTGAGGCCCTGTCCCAGATGCACTGAATCAGAGTCTCTGGGGAGGGACTTGGAAGCATACGTTTAACAAGAGACAAAATGATTACGATCATCACAGAGGTTTAAGAAAGGAAAACAGCTCTGTTGCCTCAGGTGGGGAAATGCACCCATCTCTCCCTCTCACTGATCAAAGAGAAGCTATCAGAGATTTGAAGCTCACACAACAAAAATCAATCATGTCATTCTGGAGTTTATCAGATTATAATACTCTAGGATATTTATTCCTCACTTTAGTGATATAGCCTCGTCTGATTTAAGGTTAACTGGATCCTGAAACACAAAGACAATTTTGAAAAGTTGAAAACGGATGCTAGTGGAATCCTCAGACTTCTTTCACTTTCCTCTCTGTCCCTCTTTGGTCCTTTGGAGCAGAAGTATGAACTCAGCTTCAGCTCCTAGCAGCTTGAACTGATGCAGGGGTTCAGCTGTACAGGAGCTGGAGGGTTGCTGGAAGGAGAACGCCGGGCTGACCTCATGTCTGGTTGCCCACCAGATGGCTGTCATTGGACGAGCAAATTCCATGATCCAGGAAGTAGAAAATCCATCACTGCTTGGTTTGTTTTTCTTACCGTCAGTTTTTCCACGCCCAATGACAAGAGAAGAAGCCAGCTAACTCTGTCGCTTTGATCCCCCTCATGGAAGCAAACGACTTATTTGGGCCACCTAAATACTTAATGAATTAAATGGAAAACGACACGGTGATTCCTGACAGGGCTGAATTTAAGTCAAGCTGTGAAACTCCACAGCGCAGCCAGAAGTAGAGCTGGACCAGTCGAGCTGAAACCTGACCACTGCTTCTCAGCAATTTTACTGTAAGTTATTCCCATTATCTCAAGGAGAAATTTGAGACGAGTTTAAAGAAAAGTATGGAGCTCATTTCGCCCATGTTGAGCACAGATCGTTGTTTTAAGAAATTGTTTTATATGCTATTGCCCAGAAACTTGCTTTGAATGAAATTTCCAGGCCTAGTATCTAGAATAGCCAAAAATGACAGTGACATTTTACAAATAATAGTTGAATATGCTTTACTCTGCTTCTATTCCAGAATGTTCTTGATCTCATTTAATCTTCACAACAACTCAGTAAGGTTTATACTCTTAATTAACACGATTTTACAGATAAGGAAACTGGTAACTTCCTCATGGAGTCCTTAAGTAATTTTCAGAAAGCCCATAGCTCGTAGCCAAGAGCCCATCTCTTATCACTGTACCAGCTGCATTCCAACGGAGACCATATATATAGGCCGTTCGTTTCTCCAAAGACAAATTCCCCTATTAGATTAAATCGTAAGACCCAACAACATGTTTGTTGCTTAAAGATAGGTATCTGTAATAAAATGATGCTGAAATGCTAAAAATATAAAAAGTTTTATTGAAGAAACTTGTATAACAAAAAGGAAACAGCTGGTAAAAGTGGAATCATATAAAAGAGATCTTAAAAATCAAAGAAGTGGAGTACAAAGAGGTTCCTGATTATAATGAAAAATATAGAAACAACAGTGAAGACATGGATTACCAAAGTTAGAAGTGCAAAAACAAATGGAATAAACTTAAAAAACCAAACTACCGTTAACGGGCAATGTGAATTCTTGATCAGGCTAAGATAAAAATTAGACAATCTTAAAAATTAAATAGGCAGATTTCAACAGACAAAAAAGTTAAAAGTAATTGAAGATATGACAACAGTAGATATAATTTGAAAAATAAAATAGAGGTTATGAATGCTACACTTAGTATACTAGAACTAGTGGGCATATTTTGAATTCAGTAACAAGACTGACTATACATTTTTCTCAAGGTATTGGAAATTGTGTATATATATATATGTATATATATATATATACAACTCTTAAATTAAGTTTTCAAAAATGAATCCAGAGGAAAGTTATATAGATATATTTTCTCACCACAGTGCAATAAAGCTAAATGTTAACGATATAAGTAAAAATGCAATGAAAGGAACTTTAGATAAAATAACGATTGAGCCTATAGCCTTGAAGGAAACAGTCCAGGGCTTAAACTGTAACTCCATCTCTTACCTCTGTGTGACCTAGGCATTTTATTGAACCTCTCTGAACCTTGGATTCATCATCTAAAATGTGGCTCTACTTTGCAAAGATGTTATGAATTTTATCTATAAAGTACATAAAATAGGAATACCTGGATGGCTCAGTCAGTTAAGCGGCCAACTCTCAGCTCACATCTCCATCTCAGGTCGTGCGTTCAAGCCCTGTGTTGGGCTCCAAGCTGGGCATGGAGACTGCTTTAAAAAAAAGTACATGCAATAATATAATACTAAGACTTAAAGGAAAGCTAAAACCCATACATCATATAATTATGGTGCCATATTTTCAATGTAGTCATACTTTATTTAACTAGAAAAAAAGCCCAGAATCTTTGTTGGTTGAAAGCCAAAGTCTAGAAAATATATCTCTAAATACTAACAATGCTCATCGGTCTGCCCTGGGATTTCTGGTGATTTTTGTTATTTTGCTTTATTTTTTTACTATAAATATAAAGGTAATGTACAATAAATAATAATATAATATGAAATAAATATACACTTCTTTAAAAAATAGTACAAGAAGAAAATTAATATTAACATATTGAGTGCCTTATAGGTGGAGACTGTTGTGAACATACAGTCATTTCAGTGGTTGACACATACATATATATATACACATACATACACACACATATATACAGTGTATTTAAACCCTAATTTAAATTAATTTTAAATTTAGATCTATAAATTTATTTATCTAGATATTAATATATTTCCTATAATATATACGATAGTATTATATATAGTACTAAAATACTTTATATTCAGGGAAAATATAAACGAAATATAAACAAATGGTGAATCTGGGTAAAGGGTGTACAGGAGTTCTTCATACTAGTCCTTTAACATTTCTGTAAGCCTAAAATAATATAAAAATAAAAATTTACAGAAACAAAAACCAGTAAAAGAGTAACTTCTAAACTTCTAAAAACAGCAGCGAAAGCTCTCCTTAGCAACAGGGTGAGGTAAGAAATTAAGAGCATGATAATAACTTATGGAATACTATAAAATTGAAAATACCACCTGTCAAAAGTAAGGGGAGTACAGACAATCAGAGCCCAGAGGTAAAGACCGAGACGCATTTTTGAAATATGATATAAGCAAACTAAGCATCTGATTTAAAATCTTATAAAAAGAAGAGAGTAAACATAAGGGAAAATAGGAAGAAAATAATAACGATGAAGAACAAAAATAAACAAGTTGAAAAACAAAAAATCAGTGGAAATAATTAGTAAATTTAATTGTTCGGTCTCTGAAAAGATAAGATATATTAAAGCCCTTGGAAATGTAGTAAATAGAAGAAAATTAGGAGTCAACAAAATTAAAAATATACAATTGATTTAACTGGTATAAAAGATTATAACCAAAAAAAAAGATTGTAACCTATAAATGATGGCAATGCACAATTTATGATAATTTGAAATGTTCAACCAAATGGGCAAACAAAATATAATGTTGGCAAAACAAGATGGAGAAAACATGAAAATGATGATAAAGGAGGAGGAACTTGAAAGACATATTAAAGAAATCCCTCACCTACTCAAAGAAATACAACCTCAACAAATATAGTGAACAATATTTCTATATATTCAAGAAATAGATTTTGCCATATGATGTAATCAGTTCTCAGTCATGGAGAAACAAGACCAGCTACCCAATTCATCCTAAGCGATAAGTATCGTGCTCATCCACAAATCTGTGAGAAATACCACACATGCACACACATGCACCAACACACTCTTCGGATGGCAAACGTACTCAAGCACCAGCTCCAGTAAAACTGGTTTGAAAAGATTACAACCAAGTTCAGGCACCCAGTAGACTTTCCAAAAATAATTGTTGGCTAAGTGAATCCATAAATAAATGGCTATATGAATGAAAAAATTAATGCAGTCAATTAGCAAAGCCTCCTGAGGGCACGAAAAGCAGGAATGGCCTGTGTGAATCTCGTATTTGCTAACTTACTCATCACCTCATCCATGTCAGACCCAACGAGCATAGGCAGAAAAATCATTTTTCACTGAGCTTAGAGAATGCAGCTGTGACACGACAGTGTGATAAGCAATAAAGGTAAATTCCAGGAATGCCAAGAGATCACAACAAATCAAGGACACCTTTTATAAAAGAATTTGAGTTTTCTCTCTCTCTCTCTCTTTTTTTTTTTTGATGAGACTTAAAAGAAAATATGAAGAAATAAAGACACTAAGGATTGAAGAGTTATAATTTACCATCCCCCAATATGCCACTTTGGCATTAGGATCAGTTTGAGCCAAAGGCACTTGAAAAACAACAGATTCGAGAAGGACATTCTAATCTTCCCTTTCTTCCTAAAACAGGAGATAAGAATTCCCCTGTGGAAGATGCCCTTCTAGTACCAGGGGAAAGAACCGTTCTTCAACAAAGAATAAAAGCTAAAAGAAATCTGTATGAACAGACCTTGCTAAAACACTTCTTATCTTCCTTTAGCTTCCCTACATAATTCAGTTACTCCTCCACGTTGCCTCTCTTTGTTCAACCCCGCATAAGAGCATTTCTTTAGGTTTCCTAAAGAAACCTAATGAGGGCTCCCGTGTCCTGTAAAACTCACAAATTTGTACATTTTTCTTCTGTCAGTCTATCTTAGGTGGGTTTAATCCTCAGGCCCAGCCAAAAAACCCTAAGAGGGTAAAGGTAAAGGTAAATTTGCCTCTGCTACAGGATGTTCCTGAAGGAAAAGACTGCTGGATCTGACCACATGAAAGTTTAACACTGTTCAACAAAAAAACACCACGGGCAATGTGAAAAGATATAATGCAGATTTTGAGAAGATTAATTTGCAACTCATGTCACCACAAAGAATCAACATCAATAACAGAAACACTAATGATGCAATAGGAAGATGGTCAAAAGATCTGAACAAGCAGTTGATAGCACAAGAAATCGAAATAACCGATGACACGCATAAAAGGAAGCATCCTTATTTTATTGAGCTTATTTTACCAGTAATCAGAAAGATGAAATTAAAACAATGAGATACTAGTTTACATCTATCAACAGGTGAAAATGAAATAGTCTGACACTATCCGGTGCTGCTGATGACGTGAAAGAACTGGAGAAACATTCACATTTTGATGATGATGTGTTCACTGGCGTAACCATTTTGAGAATGAATAGTCAATGTCCAGCAACACCAAAGAGATCCGTATCTTAACAACCCTGAGATTTCACTTCTAGGAGTAAACTCTAGGAGTTCTCACTTGCGGACAATGCAAGTCCATTGCAACGTTGTTTGTAACCGCAAAAAAACACACTAACAAAAAAGTAAATCACACAAATATCCACCAGCAGAACGAACTAATTGTGATAGACTCATACAATGAGACCATCTATAGCAGTTTTATCAATAGAGATAAATCTCAAAAATATAATGCTGAATGAAAAACCAAGTTGTAGATAAGTAAGCAGAGTATAAAAATTTGTAAGCATACAAAAGAATGCCATATATTTTATAGCTACATACATAGGTTGCAAACATATACATAGAGAGACCCATAGGCACCAAACTCAGGATGTGGTTGCCTCTGAGCAGGGAAAAATAAGATTAGGTTTGGGAAGAGGTAGACAGGTATTCAATTTCATATCAAAAATAAGAAGCATATATGACAAAATGTTAGGATTTGATGGGTCTGAGGAGCAGGATGGTATTCATAAATATTCACTATACCGTGATTGAAATCATTTTTTTAAGTGAGCACCCCAATTTTAAAGA